ATTGTGTTAATTTCTGCTCTGAGCTTTATAATTTCTTGCCTTCTCTGGGCTTTGGGTTTGACTTGTTCTTCTTTTTCTAGAAGCTTGAGGGGCAGCATAAGATTATTTATTTGTGCTTACTCTGTTTTCCTGAGGTGGGAATTCACTGCTATAAATGTCCCTCTGAGGACTGCTTTCATTGCATCCCACAGGTTCCTGTAAGTTGTATCTGCATTTTTGTTTGATTGTACATAGTGTTTAATTTCTTCTTTGAGTTCATCTGTGACCCATTGATTGTTTAGGAGGGTGCTGTTTAATTTCCATGTCTTTATGGAGTTCTTGTGATTTCCTTTGTCATTAATTTCCAGTTTCATTGCACTATGATCCTATAGTACACATGAGATAATTTCAACTCCTTTGCATTTCCGTAAGCATGTTCTGTGTGCTAGTATATGGTCTATTTTAGAGAATGTCTCATGTGCAGCTGAGAAGAATGTTTATTCTGATGCTGTTCGTTGGAACACGCTGTAAAGGTCTACTAAGTGCATTTGTTCACAGGTTTGGTTTATTTCTGTTTTATCTCTGCTAATTTTTTGTCTAGTTGATCCATATCTTTTTGACAATGGGGTATTAAATTCCCCTGTTAATGATTGTGTTGCTACTTATTTCATTTTTCATGTCTGTTAAAATTTGTCTTATATAGATGGATGCTCCTGTGTTTGGTGCATAGGTGTTTATGATTGTTACCTCTTCCTCTTGAAATTTGCTCCTCACAAGTATGTAGTGACCTTCTTTATCTCTTTTAATTGTTCTTGGTTTGAAGTTCCCATTGTCTGCAAACAGAATAGCTACACGTGCTTTTTTCTGGGTATCTGTCACATGGAGTATTGTTTTCCATCCGTTGATTTTCAGTCTGAATTTCCTTTTGAGTTAAATGTGTTTCTTGTATGTGGCATATTGTTGGATTTTGTTTCTTGATCCAGTTTGCCAGTGTACTTTTTGTTAGTGAATTGAGACTGTTTACATTGATGGTTATAACTGATATGTATTGGCTTATCTTTGTCATGTTGTTTTCCTGCTGTTGATTCCTCTTTTTTCCCTCTGTTTAGTTGCTTGCTTTCCTTGGTGGTTCCTTTCTGTTGTTGTTCTTGAAGTTGTGGTCTTCTTTTTAATCTCTTCCTAGAATATCTTTTAGTACTCTTTGTAGGGTTAGTTTGGCACTCATAAAGTTCTTCAGTTGATCTTTATTGTGCAGATATTTTATTTCTTCATTAATTTTGAAGTATAGTTTTGCAGGGTGCATCAGTCTGGGTTGGAAGTTGTTTTCTTTCAGGACCTGAAATGTTTCACTCCAAGCTCTTTTAGTTTTTAAGTTTTATTTTAAAGATAGTAGTAAATGAGAGGGAAAAAAAAAAGAGAACAATAGCAACATACCAGCATCACAAATATAAGCAAACCAAAGCTAGAACATTTAAAGTTCTAAAGTTATAGGGTTTCAAGACAAAATAATATGAATTAATAGTGGTTGTTATATTACATATTGTTATCTTCAAATGTGTTTCTCAGATTACCAGATGTAAGAATGGAATGTTGTTCAAATCATTAAAGAGAATAAGAAAATAATTATTAGATAAAATAGTAGAGATAATACAGAGTTTCACTAGACAAGATGGTAGGAATTCACCATGGTAGTTCCATTACATATTGTTACCTTCAAATCAGTTGTTCAGATTACCAGATATAAGCATGCAAAATTGGTCAGAACATAAGAAATTTTAAGCATTAACTGTTCCTTTCAATCAGAAATCAGCAGTACAGTTTTTGCAGCTATTCATATATATATTTATATTTTGCCTGCCTTCTTTCTTTTTTCTTCTTTCCCTCATCCCAGTCATTCCTTCCTTTGAGCAATTTCTTTCCCTTTCCTATCATCTATTGTACATTTTGAGTTTTACTTGTTCTTTCAGGTTCCTATATCAGGGAGACAATATGATGTTTACACATGTGGGTCTGACTTATTTCACTTATGAGTATGGTCTCTAGTTTCATCCATTTACCTACAAAAGCCTCGAGTTTATCTTTTTTTATAGCTGAGTAATACTCCGTTGTATAAAAATATCACATCATTTTTATCCATTCCTCAGTGGATGGGCATTTGAGTTGCTTCCAAGATTTATCTATAACAAGTTGTGCTGCTATAAACATGGGTGCACATATGTCGCTGTGGTATGATGTTTTAAATTCTTCTGGGGGGCTGGGGATTTAGCTCAGCGGCAAAAGCGCCTGCCTGGCAAGTGCAAGGTCATGAGTTCGGTTCCCGGTACCGGAGAAAAACCAAAAAAAAAAAAAAAAAATTCTTCTGGGAAAATACTCACAAGGCCAATAGCTGGGTTAAGTGGGACTTCTAATCCTAGTTTTGTGAGGAATCTCCAAGCTGATTTCCACAGTGGTTTCACCAATCTACACTCCCACCAGCAGTGGAGTAAGGTTCCTTTTTCCCCACAGCCTCTCCAGCATTTGTTTATTGGTTGAGTTCTTGATGATAGCCATTCTTTCTGGGATAAGATGGAATCTCAGTGTTGTTTTAATTTGTATTTCTTGAAAGACTAATGGTGTTGAACATTTTTTCATGTATTTATTTGCCATTAGTATTTCTTCATTTATGAAGTGTATATTCATCTCAGATGCCCATTTTTGGGTTGAGTCTTTGAATTTGGGGGTCTGATTTTTTAGAACTCTTCATGTGTCCTAGATAGAAGTCCTTTGTCTGAAGGGCAGTAGGCTGAAATTCTTTCCCAATTTGTGGGTTTTCTTTTTACTCTATTGGTGATTTCTTTTGATGTGCAAAAACTTTTCAATAAGATCAGATCCCAGTTGTTGATTCTTTGAAGTATTTCCCGTGCAGTTTGGTTTTTGCTCATGATCCAAGTGCTTCTTGATGATTTGTGTTGAGAAATTGGCCATGTTTCTGATGGGCTTTCCTTTGTAGGTGGTCTGTTTCTTTTCTCTAACAGCTTTTAATATTCTGTTCTTTTGTTGAATTTCTGGGATCTTGATCACTATACATCTGGGTGTAAATTTATTTTGGTTATGGCTAATTGGAGTTCTATATACTGCATTTACCTGGATATCCAGTTCTTTTTCCATGCTTGGGAAATTTTCTGCTGTTACTTCCACAGATAGTCTTTTCATGTCATTTGTACTGACACCTGCTGTTTCACTGATACCTATTAATCTTACATTGTTTTTCTTTGCTTTGTCTTGCAGCTGTTGAATTGTTATTTCTCGGTTTCTTGTTATTTTGAAGAGATCCTTCCTTTCACAGCCATTCACAGCAATGCTGTCTTCAAGGTCTGAAAGTCTATCTTCAGCTTTGTTCAAGCGGTTTTTACAGCTTTTGATGGAAGTTTTAATTTCCAGGATATCTGTTTGAATCTGTTTCATGCCTTCCAGTTCTTTCCTATATTGTTCATTCAAGGTTTCCATTAATTTACTATGCACCTCTATTTTCTTTTCTATGTCTTCTCTAGATGTGCTAAGCAGTTCTTTCATTATTTTTGTCATTTCTGTTTTTACCTCAGAGATTATTTCTGATCTGATGTCTTCTTTGGCCTGATGGAATTGTTTCTTTACTTCAGCTGCTATCATTTCAGAAATTTCAGGTGTACGATTTCCAAGCTCTTCTGTGTCGATATCTTCTGGACTTGTTCTGGGTGGGGTGGAGGTCTGCAATTGCATTTTGCTCCTTCATTTTGTCATTCTCAGTGACCCAGAGGTTCCCTGGAGCTCAGCCTCACTCCCAGGATGATGTTGGAGTGGCAGGGCAAGGGCCCAGAGGTCCCTGGTGCTCAGTGTGGCTCCCTCTGTGGTGTGTGCAGGCAGGGTGCCATCCCCAGTGCTCCCACAGCTGTCCAGGGCTCAGCTTGGCTCCCACTCGGGTTCCCAAAGCTGTCCAGGTTTTAGCCCTGTTTCCACGGGGGTGTAGTAGTGGGTGGGTTGTGGTCATTGAGGCTCCAGGCACTGCCTGGGACCCAGCCTGGTTCCCACATGAGTGGGTTGGTGGGTGATCCCGCAGTCACTGAGGCTGCTAAAGCTGTCTGAAGTTCAGCTTAGCTCCCCTGAGGGTGCAGGGTAGGTGTAGGGAGTGGTACCCAAGGCCCCTGAAGTTGTGTGGGGCTCTGTCTGGCTCCCCTGCTGGTGGGGTAGAGGTGGGTCTGGCTCGCAGGAGTTCCCAAAGCTGTCCAAGGTTCAGCTCAGCTCCAATGGGGGTGGAGGGGCAGAAAGTGCCCTCCCAGGCCCCTGACGCTGTCCGGGGGCTCTGCCTGGCTCCCAAGCTTGTGGGGGAAGGGCGTCGGCGGCTCACTAGCATTCCTGAAGCTGTCCAAGTTCAGCTCAGCTCCAATGGGCTGGAGGGCTGAAGGGCTGGAGGTCCGGAGCGCCAGAGCTGATCATTGACCTTTTTTTGATGTGTCTAATAAGTAGGTGAGATGAAGACCTCAGAAACCTGATAAATAGTAGTCATGGTTTTAAAGTTCTGTGGGCTGCTGTTATATCTTCATTTGTTTTTTGATGCATTGGCTTTTTTCCTGTTGAATATTTTTATTTCCTTGTTTTATGTCAGTGTGAAGTAGAAATAATAAATACAATATTTTGAATTAATAAGTCTTTTTCTCCTTCAGGTGTGATGATGATCAGATGTCTAATGATAAGGAGAGGTTTGCCAGGTAATGTAATACAACATTTTGGTCCTTGTTATGGGACCAGGCAGTCCATCCTCACTGAATTTTAATTTTATCTGGATAAGAGTGAGTTTCTGTGTCCTCTTATCTTTTCTGTTCTAAAAGATGGTGAAAATGATGTTGCTGGCATAGATGTTCAGGCTTCAAACTAGTCACATCTATGTATCTGTCTCTTTGTCTATTTTATGCAGTGTTTTCCTGTGCATGTGATAGCTATAGGAATGTGTTCCCTAGCCATCCACAGGAATACAAACTATGGATTTCTTGATTGCATTTGTTATAAAATTGGTGTAGCTAATGGAAAAATCTCTATAGAGAGTGATTTTATTCTTTACAAAGTGACCATAGAGAAGTTTTTGTGGAGACTGGAGTTTTTATTAAAATAAACTTACATTTGTTTAAATAACCTGTCAAGATGATAAAATACTTTCTATTTCACTTTTTATTAAACAGTAAATCCTTCTCAACTTGGTTTTCTTTGAGAAAGTTTATATTATTAAGCAGCATGTTATTTCTTTTTAAAAATTTTGTTTGTAGCTACCTCAGAAAAATTAATACCGTTATTTCAAAGTGCCATGCTTAGCTGAATGCTTAGTTTATTGCTGGTGTTTTCCATGTGGGAGCCACTTTGAGAACCACTGATGTAAACAAGAAATATCAGGTGGAATAGTTTCTGAACACTCTGAAACAGAGTTTTGAATCAGAGGAGATTATATAAAGTAGTTAGTACAGATACTTCTGTGGTAGCAGCATACAGGATTACAAAAGAGAAGGGCTAAAGGCAGAGAGGTAGTTACAAATGGCTCGAATGAGACAGCTATGAAGTCATGATTGCCTGGTGGCAATGGCAATAGGAAAAGTGTAAATATAAGAGGTTTTAAGAAAATAATTCAGGCCAGGCGTGGTGGTGCACGCCTGTAATCCCAGCACTCAGGAGGCTGAGACAGGAGGATCTTTGCAAGTTTGAGACCAGCCTGGGCTACAAAGTGAGCTCAAGGCCAGCCTGAACTATGCAGTGAGACCCTGTCTCAAAAATACAAAAAAAAAAAAAAAAAAAAAAAAAAAAGCCAGGCGTGGTGGCACATGCCTGTAATCCCAGCACCGGGAGGCTGAGGTAGAAGGATCATTGTGAGTTCGAGGCCAGCCTCCGCTACAAAGTGTGCTTAAGGCCAGCCTGAACTGCATAGCGAGACCCTGTCTCAAGGAGACAAACAAACAAAAAAATTAAAAAAAAAAAAAAAAGTCACCAAAGCAACCTGAAACAGATAATTATAAAGTCTTTATGATGTGAACCATCTCTAAAATGAGAAGTTAATCATAGATATTTGGGGAATAGTTTTTCAAACTGCATTAAAAGGTCAAGCCATCCATTTGTGTGGATAGTACAGGTCCACAGTCTCTGTTTCGATTGAAATTCCAAATAGTCATGAAAACTTCAACTATTTTAGTCCTCATTTATCCTGCTTAATGTGAGTATTTATACATTTGTGTTTTTTATTCAGAAATATTTGGGTAGATAAAGGATTATGGATCTGTCCAATAGCAATTCTAGATATTTAATTTTCAAACAACACAACTCATTCCTTTAAGATATGATTTGTTAGCCAGGCGTGGTGGCGCACGCCTATAATCCCAGCACTGGGGAGGCTGAGGCAGCAGGATCATTGCAAGTTTGAGGCCAGTCTGGCCTACAAAGTGAGCTCAAGGCCAGCTTGAACTGCATTGTGAGACCCTGTCTCGAAAGGACAAAACAAACAAACAAACAAACAAATCCATATGATTTGTTAAAGTAATTTACTTCATGTATCATTGGGAATCTGATTAAAGAGTCTTCAAAGGCTGAAAATTATTTAGTGAGGTGTGGTGTATGCCTATAGTCCCAGCATTCAGGAGGCTAAAGCAGGAGGATCAAGCAAGTTTAAGGCTAGCTTGGACTACATAGTGAAACCTTTTCTCAAAAAACAAAGATAAAGAAACAAAAACATTTAAAAAAAACCCAACAAAAGCTGAAAATTATGAATTTTAACTTTTTGAAAAAAAAGGTTATTTTAGTTTACTAATAAATTATCTAGAAGTAATCTAAGGAACACAAAACTCTAAAATATTCACCTTCTCATCAGAATATGTACATATATTTTGACTTTGTTCTCATTTTTAAAAATGTTATTTTGTATATCTTTTATCTCTTGATTGTTTTATTGGCACTTTTTCATGTACTACTGAAGTCTTTTTGTTTTTTTAATGGAGTTTTGCTGTGTTTCCCATGCTAGCCTGAAATTCTTGGGCTCAAGACATCCTCCTGTCTCAGCCTCCTAAGTAGCTGGGAGTACAAGTGTGTGCGATTAGGCCTGGACTTGCTGTCATTTATAAGAGCTAAAATTTTCAGCCTTTTAATATGTCATACTTTACTTAGAAATTTTATTTGAGTCTTAACTATTTATTTATTTATTAAAAATAGAATTGAGAACTGGTATACTGCCCTGGCAACATAGTGATGTTTTCTGCAGTTGCCACTCACTCCATAGTAACTCAAGTTTTTAGAAAAATTTAGTAATAATCTTGTGTCCTCTTTCAGAGGAGGAGGAGTTGCTACCAGCTTTGTTGTGGTTTTTCTGCCAAAAATGACAAAATGACTGGATCAAAATTAAGAATAACTTTAGGAATACATTAGTGATAAAGGATATGCAAGAAATCTAGCTCTTGGTTTTAGTTAATTGGCTCACTAGTGAAATCTGGTCGACTAGATTAGTGTATGGAAGGTGTGTGTGTGTGTGTGTGTGTGTGTAAGGAGAAACTGTATTTGTGATCCCTTGTTATCTTTAATTGTTTTCATTATAGAATGGCACACATGAATATAATCTTTCCAGATTGGAAAATGGTATTCCTCAGTTCTCTTGATTGGTTCTTTAGAGTCTGTATATCCTTGGTCTTTACAGAGATTGACAGAATGCTTTCTGTGTTACTCTATAATATATATTAGCTTTTTTTTTGTGTGTGTTGACCTTTTGTCTTATAAGTTACTCTTTCTGTACCATAACAGAAGGATTGTAGATTACAGGCAAGGTACTGGTCCATATTTCCATTCCACCTTCTCTGCATCTGTTTGATTTTCTTCCTTTTCTTCTTTATTTCTTCTCCTTTCTTTCCTTTTCCATTTCCATATTTATCCTTCCTCCCTCCTTCTTTTTATTTTAATTTTAGCTTAGTTCATTAATTCTGTTTTTAGGTCGGATGATGAGCAGAGCTCTGCGGATAAAGAGAGACTTGCCAGGTAGGAAAACAGTGTGTTTTAGCATGATGAAGCAGATGCTGCTGCTTTTTCTATCCTTTTTCTTACTCTCTCTTTTCTTCCCCTTTTCTCTTTGTATTTTTCCCTATCTGTGGCAAGAGAGGACAAGATTTTTTAGAAGTTTGAGTGTTACAGGAACTTTGGCTTCCCCATCAGAAAGTGGGTGAGTTGAGGGAACTTTACTTAGGAATTTAAAAAATTGTTATTATTTTCTTTTCCTCTTTATCTCAGCACTCTTTTACAGAACCAAAAGGATTTAGAAATAATGCAGCTGTGCCAGATAATACTTTACCAGAAAAAGTCTTATCAGAAAACCAATAAATATACCTGTAGTTGCAATTAATTCCCAATATTTAAACCTCAGGCATTTACTTTGTTCCTCTCTGGAAAACTCACTTATATTTTCCTTTGTAGACTCACAGCCTACATTACTGTGTCACAATAGAACTGGTATTGCTTTGATGATTAAAACCTTATGATTTACCAGAGAAGTTTTTAGCTGCCTTGGTGTGGCTGTTTGAACATTATATTTCTGTACTTTACTATCAGAAATCTGTCAGATACTAGAATGGTAGGTGCTTTTAAGTTTCAGAGTAGAGTTTTATGTATCTCAGGGAAAGTAAAAATGAACATATGTGATGAGACCTTTCTGCCAATAAGATTTGCTCTCATTTCAACCCTAACCTCCTAACACTTTCCCTCTTCAGAAAACTAACTCATCTTCATGTGGCAAGGAAAGTGTTGCATTGGGAATGAGGATAAAGTCCTCAGTTTACTCATTTTATAAAAAAGAAATTTACATTAGATTTTTATTTTTGGGCTGGGGATATAGCTTAGCAGTGCAGTGCCTGCCTGGCAAGCACAAGGTCCTGAGTTTGATTCCTTGTTCCACCCACCATAAATAGATTAGTACTTTTTTTTTTTTTTTTTTTTACAAAGAACTTTTGTTCAGATAGAATCCTTAAATGATAATAGAAGGAAATAAATGTGACAAACAAAACTGCTCAGGTAGAAATAAACACACCTGGTGTTAGATTCTCCTTAAGGCATCCCTATTCTGGTGGAGGACAATACAGAACCTTCTGGGCTTTTCAAATTCCTGTTTGAAAAGTTCCTGCATTTTCCCTCTTAATGGTGATGTCATTCTGACTCAGTTTTGAGGAATGTGGCCTATTTAGCCTGGTGAGATTCAGATTCTCTTTCCAGACCTTTAAGCATTTCCCTCTCACTCTACTCCCCAGTTCACTTTGTCCCAGTCTGGGGACTCATACGATCTCATACAGTCTCTGAAGTTCAGTGCACTATCCTTAGACCCGAATAAAGAAGGTAGGGCTTTGTGCATTAGTGCTACAAGTAAAACTTCAAAATTGTCCAGTTCTGCCTTTTATGTCAGAAGAGAAAAACCCAGAAAAAAGCAACATTTTTTTGACGGAGGGGTCTGTACTATCATTTCTTATATCAGCTATTGAGCAACATACTTGAATTGACAAAAGTTGATGATTTTTTCTAGTCGAAATAATTTAGTTAGAAGAAAAAGCCAGTTTAGTCAGTAAATATGTAATCAACCAAGGTGAGGGATTATTTGTCCCTTAGGAGCTAAACTCACTCAACATTTTTTTTTGTTTGTTTGTTTTTGTTTTTTTTTTTTTTGTTTTTTTCTCTGGTACCGGGCACCGAACTCACGACCTTGCGCTTGCCAGGCAGGCGCTTTTGCCGCTGAGCTAAATCCCCAGCCTCAACATTTTTAAGTACTATCATTTTTTATAATTTTTTGTGAGGGAACAGTATATATATAAATGTAGGCAGGGAAGTTTCCAGGAGATAGAATTGTATCTGCTTTTTCTCTGTTTACCTTGTTAGCTTCTGTTCCATGCTTGTTCTGCATGAGAAGTTGGCAAACCTTACTTTAACTGCTGAGACTGAAGCATCGTTAAACCTAAATACTACATTCTTCAGCAGCTTACTTGGTATCCATATCACTCTGTCTGCTGTCAGATGACCAGATGTGACCACCTGGATGGGGCTTCTCTCTCTCCATGCAGGGAAAATCATAGTGAAATTGAACGGCGGCGGAGGAACAAGATGACAGCTTACATCACAGAACTGTCAGACATGGTACCCACCTGTAGTGCGCTGGCTCGAAAACCAGACAAGCTGACCATCTTACGCATGGCTGTTTCCCACATGAAGTCGTTACGGGGAACGGGCAACACATCCACTGATGGCTCCTACAAACCATCTTTCCTCACTGATCAGGTCTCTGGGACTTGGAACTGTGAGAGCTTCTAGATCTGGTTGAATCTTTTGAAAGTTTTGGTTTTGGGGGATAAGAATTCACCTCTTGGGAAGAATGCAGACCATGCAAAAATGAATTTCAGTCCTTGGTTATCATAGTAGTAAGGTATTGGAGTGGTAAGAAGTAGAGAAAAGTTGTGAAAACCATTTATTAAGCTGGTAGATATTTTAGAACTTGTGTCTTAAATACAACCTGTAAAGTGGAAAAAGAAGAGTGGACTCCAGAGAGAGATAATTAGTCCAGTGAATTAGTTCTGTTCCTTAACTTTGTAAAGCCTTTTCCCAACCCTCTAGCAGTTTCTGGTTTTAGTGAAGGAAGGAGTCTAAGAGGTAGCCATTGTTGCTCAAGAATGTGCTGTGAGAAAAACAGAGAAGAGAGAAATACTTTCTGCTTTTTAGCACCTCAGTCTGAGTCCATATATGCAAGTGGCTAGATGTACACAAAGTAGAAAATGTTAGGAAGATCATTGTAGCAAAGAAATACATTTTTACCCCATATTAATAATTTGTGTGTAACTAGATAAGTATATACCAGAGGGATATCTAAAGAGCATTTAATGGCCAGAGTTGAGTGAGGATATTTAGGGAAAACTTGGTTTTGTCTTTAATTTTGAGAGGTTCTCTGTGTGTGTGTGTGAGTGAGTGTGTGCGTGAGTGTGTGTGTATGTGTGTGTGTGTGTGTGTGTGTGTGTGTCTTGAGACAGGGTCTTGCTGTGTGGTCCAGGCTGGTCTTGAACTCACTGTATAGCCCAGGCTGGCCTTGAACTCGAGGAAACCTCATGCTTTAGCCTCCTGGGTGCTGGTGTTACAGATGTGCACCACCACACCTGGCTTTTAAGACAGGTTCTTGGTAAATTGCCCAAGTGGGACTTGAATTAGAGATCCTGTTGGTTCAACCAGCTGAGGAGCTGGGATTACAGGTGTGCACCATTGTTCCTGGAAATGTTGCTTTTGATTTAAAAATAATATGTGATCACAGTAGAAAAATTTGAAAAAACATAAGAAGTATGAGGAAGAAAACGTTTACGTTGTAGTACCACAATTTAAATGAAAGTATTAGAAAGAAGGAAGCAGTACACTTTGGAAGAAAGAAATAAGAATTCTCCAAATAGAGTGGTCTATTTAAAAGCACATGTAGCACATTTCATAGCTGTATATGTTGAAATAGTTAATTTACAGAGCACCTGCAGATACTGATTCAACAAACTTTAGTTATGTCCCTTTTGTGGGAAAGCCAGGTTCCTTGTGCTGTGAAAAACAAAGAATGATGAGATAGTGTTGGAAATAGGCATGTAAATAAGTACATCATGAATACAAAGTCAATTTTACAGCAGAGGTGCAGTGGTAGGGCTGGTGCACATGCAGATAAAGAAAATGAGTGTTCTAGATTTTTAAAATAACTTTGAGCAAAAACTTAGAGCTATGAAAGCAATTGAATTATTCAAGGAAAGTCAAGTAATTTAGCATGTGTTGGGAGATGAAACAGGAAGGTAGGCTAGGACCTGATGATCGAATACTTAGGTATTAGGTTAGAGAGTTTTAAGTGTTAGGAAGTGAGGGGCCATCAAAGTGAATGCAGTGGAGAGGGTAAAAGCACTGAGACCGTGTTGAGTGGCATAAGGCAACTTGGACAGTGACATAGCAATGGAAAGTGGAGTTCCTATGGAATGTGAGGGAGAGTAGTTAGATTTTGAGGTTTCTAGTCTGGGAGGATACAGGTTCAAGAAAAAGAATGCTGGAAAGCAGAGGGCACTGTTTAGATGTGGGTATGATAATTGTGATTTTGAAGTGTTGATTACTGAGTTGCTGGTATATTATCAGTTTGGAAATGTTTAACAGATATTTAGAAATAAGATTTGTTGAAAGTTTAAGAAAAAAAAGGCAGGTCTAGGGATGTAGACTTGGGTATCATTTTGTAGTGGGGAGGAGTGGATATGATTTTCAAGGAAGGAAGGAGGGAGGGAGGGAGAGAAGGAAGGAAGAAGAATAGATCCTTGAGAATGTCTATATTTAAGACTTAAACAGAGGATAAGAAGCCTAAAGCAGAGGAAGAAGGAAAATTGGAGTGGTGTCTCACTGAAGCAGTTAGGGGAAAATAAAATTAAGGGAATAGAATAGACAACATTGTTAAATTCTGTAAGAAACTGAGTTTAAAAATGATGAAGGCCCAGCTCAGGAAAAGGAATTTACATTGGCAATTAAGAAAACATCTATAGGGATGGGGATATAGTTCAGTGGCACAGTGCCTGCCTGGCAAGTGCGAGGTCCCGAGTTCGATTCCCAGTACCAAAAAAAAAAAAATTTATAAACTCCTTAAGAAGATGAATATGATGGTATTGATTGCAGTGGGATTGACAATAAGTAAAAGATAAGAGAACAGAGGCATTAAATACAAAATTGTTCTTAGTGTACAGTGGCACTGAATACTCCAGCCAAATTGAGGGATGAAGTGAGGAACACTGTATTTATAGGTCTAAAAGGAAAGAGAAAGTGGGTATATTTGGTGATAAGATCCTAAAAAGAGACCAGAGAGGATGGGATCAAAAGTCAGTTATTGTTGGCGATAAGCCTCTTCCTTGCTTATCGCAAGGAAGAGATAATGACATATGGAAATTGAGGCAATACTAGGAAAAACTTTCTTATCGATGAAAGTAATTACTTGAGGGTAGAAACCTGTTGTTGTGGATCAAGTATGAGGTAGCAGTTGCTTATGGAGAGGTACACATGGCCTGAGGAATCTTACTCCAAATAAATAGAAATACTTGGTTTTTCAGAATTCAGTATTAACTTTTATTTATTTTCTTTGACCAGGAACTGAAACATTTGATTTTGGAGGCAGCAGATGGCTTTCTGTTTATTGTCTCATGTGAGACCGGCCGGGTGGTGTATGTCTCAGATTCAGTCACTCCTGTTTTGAGCCAGCCGCAGTCTGAATGGTTTGGCAGCACCCTGTACGATCAGGTGCACCCAGATGATGTGGATAAACTTCGTGAGCAGCTTTCCACTTCAGAAAGTGCCTTGACAGGTGAGAGCTGTGTGGATGGAAAATGAATAGGAGGTCCTTGCTTCTTTATTTTTCTGAAGCATAGCTGGTGTTTAAGCTCTTAAATTAGCTTTTAAAATCTGGCAATATTTCTAGATTTTCTCCTTTAATAGAATCAGACCTTTTTATCCATATTCGCATATCTACTTTGTGGCTCATCTTTAGAAAAGGTTTCATTAGTGCTCCTATAAACATTTATTTTTATCTAATGTTACTGTGAATAAAAGAGTGAAATCTAACCTTATAGTAAGTCATTTTTCCTCCTGCCCTAAAAGAATCATCTATGCTTCTACCTCATTTGTATAGATAAATAACCTGGTATTTTTTTCTACCCACTTGTGATTGGCTTTGTGCTTAGGTTCTCTGATAACAGATTTTTATTTTATGGAGGAGTGGATGTTGGTCAGTATATAAAGTTTTTTGTTGCCTGCGTGGCTGGTTGCTGGCTGGCCTGCCTTCCTCTCCTCCTCTCCCCTCCCTCCTTTCTCCTTCCCTCCCCTCCCCTCCCTTCCCCTTCTCTTCTCTTGCCTCCTTTCCATAAAAGTGCTGTTATCTCCACTCTCCACTTTCATTTTGATGCGATTCAGTTCTTCTGCCAAACTTGACTGGAGGAAACATCTTTCTGAGCAACTATAGGAAAAGTTTTAAAGTGGGAGCAGATAAAAAATAGTAGTTAAAATGCAAAAATTCCAATATGGTCATATTAGTGTTGGTCATTCATTTTGCTCTCTTTCTCTCTCTTTTTTTTTTTTGGATATGGGGAACCAAACTCCCGACCTTGACTTTGCCAGGCAGGCACTGTGCCACTGAACCCGGCTTTCCCCTCTTTTATGTTTTATGGATTTTGTTTTTTCTAGTTCTTCCTTCTCCCCAAAAGTTGTCCTTGTCTTCTATAAATAAAGGAGAGAAAACAGTTTTGTTTTGAGACTGATGTGTGTGTGTTTTTCTTTTATATGTGTGTTTCTGTGCATAGTCCTACCTTTCCTTACATAAGGTTGTTTTCCATGCTGACTTTAAACTTACAGTGAGATTCATAGATGAAATTAAAATACTTTATGCTTAAAAAAAGTCTGCTACTCAGCCTGTTCTAATAAGGAGGTTAGGGCGTGTGAATGGGATGCCTCCTTACCCTTGCCTCCAGTATTGCTCCCCTTTCTCCACTCACAAAAATGCACTCCAGATTGCTCTTCACACCCTTCTTCAGGGCGTATCCTGGATCTAAAAACTGGAACAGTGAAAAAGGAAGGTCAGCAGTCTTCCATGAGGATGTGTATGGGCTCAAGGAGATCATTTATTTGTCGAATGAGGTGAGTGTCAGGCGGACGATTGTGGTTTGGCATAGGAATAATCAAGAGCTAAGGTTTTTATTTCTGTCCAAGGAATGAGCATTTTTAAATCCAAGTTCCAGCTGAATTAAATGCAATTCTCAAAATCCAAATGGAGTATAACGCAAATAAAATGTTTGTAAGGGATCTAACACTGTGATAGATGCTTTATGTCTGTCATCTTCATTCCCACAGCTGGCCTATGGAGTAAGATTCCTAGTTACCATTTTGCTGATTAAAAACTGATTCAGAGCAGTTAATTTTCGAGGATTCCATTGATAGTGTCTGATACAGAATTTTGTTATAATCCATAGTAGTCTGACTCTAAAACCTATATTTTTTCCCTTTATATCAAGGCAGCATCTGTGTACTCAGACCATTTTTATATTATTATTATTAATAATAATTATTACGTTATAAATTTGAGGTATCTTTTAAGTCTTTAAATTACTATTTAGTGTTTATGAATTATATGCTGTACTGTACATTCAAGGATTCTGTAGAAAGAATGATGGTCTATTCTGTACAGGTGGAAAAGTCATCTCAGTGTTGGGGGTGTACCTCAATGGTAGAGTGCTTGCCAGACATGTGGGAGAGGAGAGATAGGGAAAAAAGGTCTCTCTCTCCCTCTCTGCCCTCCCAACCCCTCCCTCCTTCTTTCCCACTCTCCCACCATGGTTTTTTTGGTGCTAGGGATTGAGCCCAAGGCCTCACATAGGCTAGGCAAGCACTCTACCACCAGGCTATCTCCTGAAAAGGCCTCTCTTAACTATAGTCACAAGACAAGTTCAGGTTGTATTCTGAAGTTCAGCTATATTATACTGAGAGGATGCTTAGTACAGATGATAGGTTGAATAATTAAGAAAGTTTTCCTGGCTGAGAGTGGTGGTGCACAGCTGTAATCCTGTACTTGGAGGCTGAGGCAAAAGGATTGCAGCCAGTTGAAGACCAGCCTGGGCTACATAGTAAGTTTAAGGCCAGCCTGAGCTATATAGTGAGAACCTGTCTCAAAAAACCCAAAACCAAACAAACTAAAAAAAACAGCAAAAGAAGAAAGAGAAAGGATTCCTGGAAAAGGTAGAAAATTGCATTAATGGTTTAGAGTAGTCCCTGGACTGAGCCTGCTAGATTTTTGTTTGAATCTATACTATTCTATGGATTTGAATTCTAGCTTTGACATTATCTGCTGAAAACCTTGGACAAAGGACATGAGTTTTTTATGCTTTGATTTCATCTTCTATTATTAGAGATGTTACTAATACTGACTTCATAAAGTTATGCTTAGATGAATTAATGTATGTGAAGATACTTAGAGTATGGTACAAATTAAAGTCTATGCAAGTTTTATTGGTTTTATTTTAAAGAAATGAGAGAGGAAAAGTAAGATTGGAGAGAATTTCCCAACATGTAGATATATATGGCTAATGTAAAGAGATAGGCAGGAGCAAGGTTAATAATAATGAGATGTGGAAGATAGATCAGGGTTCCTGTAGAGCAGGAGTCAGCAAAGCATTTCTCTTTGTTGTAAATAAATTTTATTGGAACATAACCATGTCCATTCTTTTACATATTGCCTGTGCCTACTTTTACACTATAATGCCAGAGCTGATCAGTTGCAATGGATTGTATACTCACAAAGCTGAAAATATTCACCCTCTGATCCGTTACAGAAAAGATTTATCAACTTTTCATGGAGAGGATCTCTGCATTTGCGAGCATACAAGACAACCCCTTATCACTACCACACATGTACCCAGGGCCTTAGCACTGAGCCCTTTTTATTTGAGACAAGTTGTCGCTATGTTGCCCGCAAGGCACTTGTGATCCAATTGCCTCAGCCCCTCCGAATATTAGGGTTATGGGCTTATGTTGCTGTGTGGGCTGTGAGACACTGTTACATTTTAGAAATACCAAACTTGACTTGCCTCTGACCTTTTTCTTGTTAGAAACATTGTTAGGAGTTTTCTGTGTCTACTTGTATCCAGATCCTGTTGTCCCGATGTTATTATGAAAAGTTCACTGATAATGTAGCTTGACTTTTAATCTCCTTATTCTTTTAAAACAGGTGTGGTAACAGCTCTGTGGACCCAGTCTCCATGAATAGACTGAGTTTTGTGAGAAATAGATGCAGGTAAGCAGTAAAGACCAAAGGCGAGGTAGGGAGTTATGCCTTTGTCACCCAACTTACCTTTGCAGCCTTCATGCTCATCCCTTACCTCATAGTTACTTTTTTTCTGGAATATTTTCCTAAGATTTAAAGCTTTTCTTATTTGTTCTGCTTACGTGTTTTTCTTCTGCTAGTCAGTACCTATTGGTTGTTTTACTTTGGCAAGGGTTGAAAATCTGATGATTACTTTTTGATGATCTAAACATCAAATACTCTGTTTTGTTTCGTGGTTTTTTTGTTTGTTTATCTATGGTGTTTTGAGACAAGATCTCCCTATGTAGTACAGGTTGTTTTGAACTTACTGTGTAGCCCAGGCTGGCCTTGAACTCGAAGTGATCCTCCTGCTTCAGCTTCCAGAGTGGTGGGATTACAAGGCGTGTGACATCATGCCTGGCCTATCCTGTTTTCTAAACACTCAACAGCCAAAAGTTAAAGTTAGCATTTATTTTGTAGTGTTTTCTCCCTGACTCCTGTAACTTTTTTAGGAATGGACTTGGCTCTGTGAAGGATGGAGAACCTCACTTTGTAGTGGTCCACTGCACAGGCTACATTAAGGCCTGGCCTCCAGCAGGTAGGAAAGTTCCTTAGAGTCCAAGAAAGTTACCAACATTTAGTTGTTACAGCATTTATTATATACCTGGCATATGAAATGTACTTGGTTTAAGTTGAAAGAAAGTGGGACAAAGAAGACTTCCTCACATCCATTGTTGATCTTATTATATTCCAGTTGGGCAGATGGATTGCTCAAAACTTAAAAATGGCTCAGTATTGGTTATATTGGAGAATATAGGTTTTTTTGGGGGGGTACTGAGAATTGAACTCATGACCTCATGCTTGCCAGGCAGGCACTTATGCCGCTGAGCTGAATATAGTTTTTTAAGGTATAAAATTTAGTTTTTAAAAAATGGTGTTACTGTGTTGTTCCATCTGGCCTTGAACTCTTGGGCAAAGCAATTCTCCCACCTCAGCTTCCCAAGTAGCTGGCACCACACGTGTGTGCCAGTGTGCCAAGCTTAAGAGAGTAGTTTTTACATGTGACAAGTCATAATAATGTGTACTGAATGCCTATGTTCTAAGCAGTCATTGCAAAAAAACATTAGCATTTAGTGCAGTTAAGGGATAGTGAGAGGATGGCTTAATTGTAATAATTTATAAAGGTGATATTCCCTGCAAAGGCTCTAAGTCAAGCTGAGAGCAGAGTAGCTTTATTTGAACTTGAGGTCATACAGGAATATAAGAAGTGGTTGGGGCTTGGGGATCAGCTTTTTAAAAAAATAAAAAGTAACTTATAGGAAACAGGAAGAGAAGGGGATCCAGGAATAGGAGGAGAAAGGAGGGAGAGAGAGAAGGGGAAGAAAGAGTAAAAAGATAAAGATACAGTATGTGTATGTGCCAGTTTCCCACGACGAGTGTATTTATTGTGTATCACGGACATACACAATAAAAAAAGGAAGGAAAAAAGTCAGTTTGACTTGTCAAAAGCTTGTAAATCTTACCACCTTTGTTTCTTCCCTGCTTGGTGGGCATTACTGATAAGTAGAGGTTTTGGGGAGACAAAAACTAAAAGAGGCTAGGTAGTATATATAATTCGGGAGGAGATTAACCTTTTATTTGGAAAAAAACTATGTTTGATTTCTGGCTTTTTTTCTGTTATGGTATAACCAAGGTTAAGTTGCTTAAACTTTTTCTCATCTTTAATTTGGTGATAATATGTCTATATGAGATTATTATGAGGATTAGATTCAGTGTAAGGAAAGCATTCCAGTGCCTGGCATGTGACAGGCACCCAATAAATGATAGTTAATATAATCAAGAAAAATTAAAGTAGTGTAGGTAATGACATTTGAACTTTTTAGCCTTTATATTATATTATATAAAAATATATATAAAGTTTGTGTGATCTTTTATGCTTCTTTATACTGATCAGGGAAATACTATTTTTCTAGATAAAAAGAAGATAACTATGCAAAGAATAGAGGAGAATATATCCTTCCCTCCCCATATGTAGAACTTGGCTTTTGTCTTTTCCAAGGGTCAAAAATAGCTGTTGGTGTTTGGTATAATTTCATTTTTGGCTGTTAACTTATTTTAAAAGTCATAGGTTTGGCAAGATATCTATCTGCCTGTGATATGGTCACAGGAAGTTTGCGTTTATGTGTGATTTGGCCAGCATGGTTTTTAGACTTCTTTGGGAGGGACTTGTACTCCCTAGTTTCTTATAGTTTATATGGGTTAAATATATTATCTGTGTACAAGTACATATTTACAGTTAAAACAATGACTGGCACATATGGTAAATTCTGTGTAATTGTTTATTCTTATAATTTACCACTCTTGCTGTATTCCTAGCTTCTTCATACCTAAGTGCATTTTGAATCATAACTCATCTGACTTTTGAAGGCCTTCATGAGATCTCTTATTCCTTTTCACCTCACCTTCCTAAAGGTGTTTCCCTCCCAGATGATGACCCAGAGGCTGGCCAGGGGAGCAAGTTTTGCCTGGTTGCCATTGGCAGATTGCAGGCAAGTGTGAATTTTCCACAACCTCACCTCTTCATTTAGAACTTTCTTTTAGAACTTGTTTGTGTTAATTTTCTTTTACTATCTGAATACAAATGAAAAATTCCATAAAATTCTGTACATTTGAGAAAATGTGTTCATAGTGAATATTGTTCCTCTTTGATTTAGCAAAACTTGAAGAATATGAAAAGAGGGAAGTCTTTTCCCCTTAGCTTTGTTGTTGTTGATAATGAGTTCTACTATGTTGCCAAGGCTGATCTTGAACTTCTGAGCTCAAATGATCCTTCTTTAATAGCCTCATGAGTGTGGGGACTATAGGCCGTACCTAGCCCACCTTATTTTTAGCTTTATAATGCTGAATTTTCTATTTGTAGTTAATCCCCTTCTTTTATTCCTTCAGTACTGGGCATCTAAGGCCTTCACACTAGCTACATCCCCAGCCCTTTAAAAAATAATAATTAAAAAATTAAAAAACGTGAGACAGGATCTTGTTAAGTTGTCCAGGCTGGGCTCAAACTGAGTCTTCTTGCCTCTGCTGGTCATTACAGGATGCAGCAGCACCCTGTAATCTAGGGCTGCTGGGGTTATAGGTAGCGTCCTGTCCATCTAGAGAAAATCCTTCTATCATTACATGACTAACAGTAGGCAAGTGTAATTATTTTGATTCTTCTCCTAAGCAAAGATAAGTTTCTTTGCTACCTAAACCATAATTTTCCTGTGTAAATAAAAAGTATAGCCTAATCAGATAAAAGTAAGTGGGCTTTGGGTTGAATTCATTTTTTGTTTACTAAGTTGTTAAAGGGCACATAAATGGGAGTAGAGCTAGTCTTTATCTAATTGTAATTGCTATTTTTTCCCTCTTAGGATGGGATGTAAAATTCTAGAAATTCTTGAAACTGAGTCTCATGCTATGCAAATACCTATGAAAGATCCAAAATACGTTTATAAAGAATGGTTTCATTTTACTTCACTTTTATTTCTTCACTCTTAGGTAACTAGTTCTCCTAACTGTACAGACATGAGTAATGTTTGTCAACCAACAGAGTTCATCTCCCGCCACAACATTGAGGGGATATTCACTTTTGTGGATCACCGTTGTGTGGCCACTGTTGGCTACCAGCCACAGGTGAGGAGCTACAGCTATTACATCACTCACACTTCGGCCTCTGTTTTTCCATGCCAGTGTTGAGGTTACACAATCGTGTTATTCCAGAGATAGCCAAAGCATGTCAGCTCCAGTTCAGAAAAAGAGATGGTTTTAATCTATCAGTTGCTAAATTTATTCTTCCTGGCAAGACTGTTATTTCCTCTTGTGAAACTTTGGAAACAGAAGGCACAGATGTATATTCATTCTAAGTACTGTTAAGTGCTCATTTTTACTTATTTTTCATTTTAAAGTGCTTATTTTAATTGGTTATACTGATATGATGGCTTAGAGGAGTAATAACCTATAAAATACACAAATTTACCATCAGTTATAACTTACTCACTTAACAAACTCATTAACTATCCTTGAATTGACTTATTATGTAAACTTTCAAAACTCAGGGCCATGGCAGTACTTCAGGCTATGACTGCATGAGATGATTGGTAAAAGAGTGCTCTTGCAAGTGAAAGAGTTGGAGGACTTGTACTACCTGATTGAACACCCATTATAGAGCTTGTTATCAAGACATTGTGCTGTTAGTGTAAGGATAGATATTTTGATCAACAGACTGGAATAGAGTCTGTTTTTACATTTATAGTCAATTGATTTTCAGCAAGGTGCCAAGACAGTTCATTGCAGAGGGCTTTTCAACAAATGATGAAACAGTTGCATATCCATATGCAAAAAATCCTTACACCATACCTTACATTACAGAAAATCACCTAAAATACCCAATAAATGTTCCTGCTCTAAAAAAACCCAAAGACTTATACATAAAAGTTCATAGCTGTATCATTTAAAATAGCCCAAAAGTGGAACAATTTAGGCGTTCATAATAAAGGAATAAAAAGAATAAAGAACTGATACATGCAACAACATAGATTAATTTCACAAATACTGTGCTAACTGAAATAAGCCAAAACCAAAATACTATGTATTTAATGACTCTGTTTGAAATTTCTAGCAAAGGCAAAACTAAAACAGGCAAAAAGCAGGTTAGTGGTTGGCTGAGGAGTACAGACATACATTAAATACACATGGGCTTTGTGTAAAGGCATTTTTGGTTCAGCGAATATGCTGTAAAACTAGATTGTAGTAATGCTTACACTTTTAGGAATGATCATTATACACTTTAAAAGGATGAATTAGAAATGTAAACTGTACTTCAAATCTATAATAAGTGCTGTTAAAATAAATGTTTGGTATTCTGAAAAAGGGAAATGTGCTAGAAGCAAGCTATGTATGTAGCAGATTCCATTTTTTTCATCTTTTTTCTCCCTCCTCACACTTATTTATAATTTTAGGGTTAAGACAGGAGAAATAAATCCAGCTTCCAGGTAATGAACAGGGCAAATTAGATGACCATGAAAGTATATTTAGTATCTATTCTTCTTTGTCCCTTCTAGGAACTCTTAGGAAAGAATATTGTAGAATTCTGTCATCCTGAAGACCAGCAGCTTCTAAGAGACAGCTTCCAACAGGTAATTTTTTTTCCTGGTTTGGATCTTAAGCCACACTTCATCTACTTATTACATTGCCCCATGTTATGTTGATCATTGATTAATTGAGCACTTGGCAGGCATTACAGTTTTATGTTTTTTGTACTTAGATAATACTAAGAAATTATGGATAATGTCCAAGGAATTTCATTTATTTGTTCATGTATTTATTTTTGAGATAAGGTCTCACTATGTAGTTCAAGCTGGCCTTGAACTCACTATGTAGCCCAGGCTGGTGGAGTGATCCTCCTTTATCATCCTCCCAAATACTGGGATTACAGGCATGTACCACCACGCCTGGTTTGTCCAAGGAATTTCCCTTTGGCTTTGGCTTTGGCTAATTACTGTCTTATATCCAACTAGTTCTATCCAAGGAACTATCTTCAAACTATTTAAATTACTACGGGATTACTGGTCTGTGGAGGATAGTAGAAGTATTTATTTCCAAAAATTCTTTTATGGATAGTTACCACTTTAAACATATTTGGTAACCAAGTGTGGTGGTGCACACCTGTAATCCCAGCACTCAGGAGGCTGAGGCAGGAGGATAGTTGCGAGTTCAAGACCAGCCTGTGCTACAAAGTGAGCTCAAGGCTGACCTGAACTGCATAGCGAGAACCTGTCTCAAAAAGACCAAAAGAAAAAAAAAAATGGGTGAATTTAATAGATGTGGCTTTAGATGGCAGTTTTTATTAGACAAGTTGATTAAGCTCTGTAAGTCTCAGTAGAGTTCTTTTTTTTTTTTTTTTTGCCTTTTTGAGACAGGGTCTTGCTATGCAGTTCAGGCTGGCCTTGAGCTCACTTTGTTGCCCAGGCTGGTCTTGAACTCACAACGATCCTCCTGCCCCAGCCTCCAGAGTGCTGAGATTACAGGCGTGTGCCACCATGCCTGGCCCAGTAGAATTCTTAAAGATGCAATAGGTATAATAATAGCAAAATTCAGAGAGTTGTTGGAAAGTTTAAATAAGATAATGCAAATAAGGCACATAGCCCCAGTGGTTAACACATAGTAGTATATTTATTTGCTGCTGTTAGCAAATGTGAAAAGATTAGTTTCTGTTTCATGACACTAGAAACTAATACAATACAAATTACTTTTTGTGTGGAAGATTACTTTTATAAAACGAAAGCAAAATAAGACTATAAACTAAAGCCAATTATTTTATTTGCAGAAACCTCTCTGGGTACTGTGAAAATAAATTCTCAGGTCCAGGGGAAAAAACTAGAATGGAAGAGCAATACATAAGCTATAGTCACTGTCATTGAACTTAAATTTCTGGTTTAGATTTGTAAAGGTAGCTCAGCATTTCTGTAATGGACTTTCCAACAAAAAGGGGCAAGTAGCATTCTCTCCTGGAAATAATTGTTATTCCTGTTTAACTAGAATGGTCAGATCACCCTGGACTCTAGTAAGAAATGTGATAAATATACTTTCTCCTTATTTAGTCACTTAGTTTTTCCTGCTTCGTGTTTTGGTTGTTTGTTTTGGGGTGTTTTAGGGTGTGGGTTGATACTAGGGATCAAACCCAGGGTCTTGTGTAACTCTAGGCAAATGTGCCACCTCTGAGCCACATCCCTAGCCTTCTTATGTTGTCTTAACCTTGAAAAAGACAGGTGCTTCAGGGAAACCACCACAAGAGTTTTTTGGTTGTAGAAAGGTAAAATTTTTATTTAATTGGGGAGATGTGTGCCTTTCCCACCTGAATTTCACTGATAGTGTGAAAACCTTTCCAGGTGGTGAAGTTAAAAGGCCAGGTGCTGTCTGTCATGTTCCGGTTTCGGTCTAAGAATCGAGAATGGCTCTGGATGAGAACCAGCTCCTTTACCTTCCAGAACCCTTATTCAGATGAAATTGAGTACATCATCTGTACCAATACCAACGTGAAGTATGTACCCTTCATTCCTTTTCCAGAGTTGGCATTTCTCATGTGCTAAGTCTGCTTAGTCTTATAAAGCTATCTCCTTTTCTTTTTTTCTAGTACTAAACACTAGTAATTTAAAGTTCCTTCTTTTCCATTTTACAGGATTTGATATAGTCAATCAAGGTAGGAAAAGATTTTAATAAACAGTAATCCAGAGAGCATGTGCTCAGATGAAAGGATTTATTTATATTTCAGTGTTATGATTTTATTTATAACCAGTTTATTGCTTCAGTCTGTCAGAATTTTAATTTAGAGCCAGGATTTGGCAAACTTTCTGTAAATGGCCAGGTAGTAAATATTTTAGACTTTGTGGGCCATACAATATACATTGTAACTACTCAGCTCTGGTGTTACAGCTTGAAAATATTTATACAGAAATTAAATTAACATGGCTTTGTTCCAATAAACCTTTATTTATAAAAACAGGCAGTGAGATGGATTTGGTCTGTGTCCAGTGATTTGCCTTAGACCACAATTATATCCCATACTCTTACTAGTTTCTGTTCCTTTCTTTGAGCTTCCTTTTTCAGCTTTTAAAAAATAGCTTTACTAAGATACATTTCACGTACTATACAGTTTACTCACTGAACGAATACAGTGTTTTTTAGTGTACCACAGAATTATTTAACTATTATCACAGTCTAATTTCAGCACATTTTCATTCTTACTAAAGAAATGTGATTTATTGCTGGCTGTGGTGGCACATGCCTATAATCCTAGCACTTGGGGGGCAGAGGCAGGAGGATCACTGTAAGCTCAAAATCATCCTGGGCTACATAGTGAGTTCAAGACCAGCCTGAACTACATGGCAAGACGCTGACTCAAAAACAAAAACAACGACAACAGCAAAAGAAATGTGATGCCCAGTAATATCATTCTCCATTCCCCCCATTTCCTTCAAAGCCCTATAACAACTTTTTAACTTACTGCCTCTATAAATTTCTCTTTTCTAGATGTTTAATGTAAGTAGAATCACAGAATAAGTGGTTCCTTTGTGACATTAGTATAATGTGTAACATCTTAAGGGTCATTCATGTTATAGCATATATCAGTCCTTGATTTCTTCTTACTGCCAAATAATACGCCATCATGTGCCTGTAACACGTTTTGAATGCTGCTGTGAACGTTCCTATACTAGTTTTCGTGTGAAAATCTGCTTTTATTCCTCTTAGTGTACACTCAGGAATTGCTGGGCTACATGATATGTTAGCTTTCTGTTGCTGTGATCAACTAACCTGAGAAAAACAAGGAAAGATTTATTTTGCTTCACAGTTTCAGAGATTTTACTCTATTTCTATCAGCCTTTTCTGGTCTTCTGAGCTCTGACCAGAATCTCTCATTAAGTAGACCCTACAGCACGTTAGGGCTGCTTCTTCAGCTGGCACCTCCAAACCTTTCCAAACTTCCCATAAGCCAGTTCCAAAGGCATTTGAACTATGTGGTCAGGTACAATCACAGCAACAACCCCATTTCTCTGGGACCAATATCCGTTCTTAGTTATCTCGTTGCTGAGACAGAATACTCAACACTCACAAGTTAAAGGCAGAAAGGGTTTTTTTGGCTCACAGTTTGTAGAGGTTTTAGTCCATAGCTGGCTGGCTCTAAGGCAGGGTGGCAGGACAGAGGGCCATCACAGGGAGGAACAGTCCATGGGAAAGCAGGGCAGGCAGAAGGCAGCAGAGTAGCAAAGCAGCAGAAGCAGCAGTGAAGAAGCAGCAAGCAGCAGCAATCAAACCTGCCTTCATATTTGATCCAGGCTATCTGCCTTTTGGGTGGTGTGACCCACACCCAGATTGGGTCACCCTCAACCCCAGCATCACACACACTAGATCTAGCCACCACCTCCAGAAAGCCCCACCTATGACTGTATAAGGCTTTGGGTAGCATCTAGACGCAAGCCATGACACCACTGTAATGATTATCAGTTGTCTGGTTACCTCTTCATACCATTTAAGCCACTTCTGTAGAATTGGTTTTGAATCTACCTCTTGAAGGTCAGATTATGAGTAATAGTATACTAAGCTACGTTCCCCAGCCCTTTTTCTTTTTTTCTTTTGAGACAGGGTCTTGCTGAGTTGCCTGGCATGTCCTTGAATTTGCAATCCTCCTATCTCAGGCTCCAGAGTAGCTGGGATTAAAGGCATGTGCCACCTCATCTGGTTTAGTTTTTTTTGTTGTTTAATTTGGAGGGTATTGAAAAGTATAAAAAGAAAAAAATTCTCACATTCGAGATAGTCTTTAGTAACATTTCAGTGTCTGTAAGTTTGTTACTTACGGTTTTAAAAAACACAGTAAACATATACTCATAATAACTAGGTATTGAATACCTAGGAATTGCTGGCCAAAGGTTGAACCCTTGTACCTTGGGACATAGATTCTGTTTATGCAATGTTGTCAGTAATTTGAATTAATGGAATTACACTTTATTAATACACTTTTTTATTAGTACATGTTTATAATATGTAATAGATTCATCATGGAGAGTGGGTACATATGGGATTAGACTTTAAAGATTAGTGATTATTCCACCTACATACGAATACATAGAATTTTCTATATATTCTGTATTTGACTCTTCTATACAGAGTCAAATTCCTTTTTTTTTTCCTCCTTCTCTGTTCTTGTCTTACTTTATTTTCATAGGAACTCTAGCCAGGAACCACGGCCTGCACTGTCTAACACAGTCCCGAGGTCTCAGCTAGGTCCCACAGCTAATTTACCCCTTGAGATGGGCTCAGGGCAGCTGGCACCCAGGTAAGAAATGGTGAAGTAATCATCTACTGAATAGTGACCACATCAAGGGGTGGCCATCTGCAATCCCATTTTTTGTTAGATTTTTTTTTCCTGAGGCCCTTTCAACTGATTTTTAAAATCCTTTTTTCTTGTTTTTCTCCTCACTGATTATCATATAGGCAACAGCAAACAGAATTAAACATGGTATCAGGAAGAGATGGATTGCCCAGCTATAATCATTCCCAGGTGAGTGTGTATCATCTTTGAAGAGGACAGCGAGCATTTCCTTTAAAAATATCCCCTAGGGCCAGTCAGCGTGTATGTGTATTTTATGTGAATTTCAGAGTTAGTGAATTATGTTAAACCTTTAATGATTATTTTCATCATTTTATTCCATAGGTTTCTGTTCAGCCTGTGGCATCTACAGGGCCAGAACATGGCAAGACCCTTGAAAAGTCAGATGTTCTATTTGCCCAGGATAGAGATCCAAGATTTTCAGAAATCTATTCTAACATCAATGCAGGTGTGTTTCTTCAACCCTTTTTGAAACTCTCATTCTTAAATTCTGACTTGTAAGCCTGTTACTGTCTAATCAGTAATCTTCCAGCATATTTCCACTTAATCATAGACTGCTTCATGAGTAAGTAGGAACTTGCTGAACTATATATTACAGCCCCTTGACTGGCCCTCCCCCCACTCCTTTTGGTCCACAGATCAGAGTAAAGGCATCTCCTCCAGCACTGTCCCTGCCACCCAACAGCTATTCTCCCAGGGCAACTCATTCCCTCCTAACCCCCGGCCGGCCGAGAATTTCAGGTGAGCCCCACGTGTGTGCTGCTTTTTAGGGCCTTGAGGGATTCCATTGCTAAATCCAATTTTCATTCTTCCCTTGCTTTCTCTGGTTATTTCAGGCAAAGCAGTAAAGTGAGCAAAGGAGCTGTTTTTTTTTCCTGTTTCTTTGCACCTGTCCTATTGTGGTGTTCTAGGTTCCATCCTTGTGTGTTCTGGTAGTGTGTGGGTGTTAGTTTTTCTTGTTCTTTCCAAATTCTGTTACTGAGTTTTCCTTAAGTCCAAGGAAGTCAAAGGGACCTAGGAATAGTATAATTGTCCTTTGATTCCTAAATTCTGTGATGAACCCATCCCTTTAATCCTTTATTTCACCATTTGTTCACTCTTAGGAATAGTGGTCTGGCCCCTCCTGTAACCATTGTCCAGCCATCATCTTCTGCAGGGCAGATGTTGGCCCAGATTTCCCGCCACTCCAACCCTTCCCAGGGAGCAGCCCCAACTTGGACCCCTAGTACCCGCTCAGGCTTCTCTGCCCAGGTAAAGCTTCTCATCTGTCTCATCCCTACATGTTAGTTTTTGTTTGTCTGTTTGTTTGGGCTTTCTTTCCACATGTATGATTAGTATCTCTCTTATATAACTTCTTAATTACTTACCAGCCCAATTATTTAAATGCAAGATGACAAAAATTGCATATTTTTTCCTGTTAATTTTTATAAGATAATATAACAGGAAATATAAAATCAACAGTTTTATCAAATTTATCTAATACAGGAACTGACTGTTTGAAATGACACCTGCCCAAGCGATAGTCAATATGTAAACTAACACACGGTGTGAATAATGCTCAGGGTAAACTGTTAAGTGATTAAGCTTTGTCTTCCAACTTCTAAGTTTTGATTTTCTGAGAGCAGCTAGATAACTAAAACACTACTGATAATCCAAAAATCTCATTATAGTCAAAGTTTCTTACATAATGACCCTTAGTGAGAATTGCTTATTTGGAACATTTGGAGATTTGATTCTCAGATCTGTCTTGGAGTAAATTCTAAGAAGTTCACTCTTTGATTAAAACTGTATAACATAGGAACAAAAGAGAAAATTACTAATTACATATAGTGATGTGTATTTATAAAAAAAGGAAAAAAATCCTTGTACCCATGTGTTTTATACATAGTAAATGTGCAAAGCATAAAGCAAAAATATGTTACTACTTTACTATATATTTATGAATAATATTTTATTGAAGTAAAAAAACAGAAACAAAAGCAGGCTCTGAACTTGTCATATGTATTATGATCTCAGTTATGCAAAATGCACAGAAAGGCTGTCCATTTTTTCATCAGCCAGGAAAGACATTGCTCTTGAGGACAGTTGTTACAGTGGTTTTTCTGCTATAATGAAACCAAGAAAGCTTACCTCATATTATTAAAGGATTTATTGTCTCTCTGAGGGTTGCCGCTTTCTATAAGTTTGCTGTGGCAGAATCAAGAAAGATGGTATTCATAGATGTCTGCACAAATCATGACTCCATGAAAGATTTTGAAGAGGTGAAAATGGCTGCTATCATGAGTGTAAACTATTTTTGGAACAATGAATTTCTTTGGATTGAAGAAATTTGTCACTGAGTGAAGAAGTTTACCACCAATCTGTGTTCTGGAACTATGAAAAATGAATATGCAGGCTAAAGAGTAGTTTCCTCGAAAGACCTTTAACACATTTTTTAAAAAGGTAGCAAGGTTTTACACTTATTAACAGTAGGAAAAGAAACATGCTCTGTAGAGCTAGTGTGGGCCAGTTAGAAGTAAGAAGAGAAGTATATTTTACAGAGTGAGAGCAGACCACTGTGAAGTAGAGAGCATAGTGGCCTTTAACACATATTTTTAAAAAAACAATTAGAGAAATAAAAAGTTGAATGAATTATTAAAGTAAATACTAATCATAGGTCTCTGGTGATGGAATTCTGAATGATTCTTATTTTCTTTGCCTTTTGCAAATATTTCACAATGCAAATACATAGTTATCTTGGTGAGAAAAAGTATTTATTAAAAAATAAAAGACATTAGGAACAAAAGAATGCAGAACACACTGAATAACAAGAGGATGCAAAGTGTTGGCATGGTGGCACAATCAGGAGCGAGGCAAGATAGCAAGTTCACGCTCACCTTGGATGACTTAGCAAGACCCTCCCTCAAGATAGAAAAGGGCTGAGTATGTTGCTCAGTTCAGAGATCCTGTACTCAATCTCCAGAACCTCAAATAATAATATTAAAAGAATGCAAAGTATTTTCTGTATATATAATACTCTATTGTTATTAATACCTGAGTTTTATGTAACCTTAGTTCATAAAATGCTTTAATTCTCACAATTTACCTTTGTTCTTTGTCCTTTTACCTCATCTGCCTAAAAATAGTACCAAGAGAGCTTGATAATTAATCAAAAGAAGTAATACAGTTGGAAATAGTGATGAGCTTGAGTCAGAAGAAAACAGTAGTGACTGATAATGTTGACTCTCAGGAACGGTCTGCACAGTGATGTTAGTGTTCTGTTTGTTGCCTTTTATCCCTTTTATCCCTTCTCTTTTTAGCAGGTTGCTACTCAGGCTACAGCTAAGGCTCGTTCTTCCCAGTTTGGTGTAGGCAGCTTCCAGACTCCGTCCTCCTTCAGCCCTATGTCTCTTCCCGGTGCGCCTAGTGCATCCCCTGGTGCTGCTGCCTACCCTACTCTCACCAATCGTGGATCCAACTTTGGTAAGTTCAGACCAGGAGAATCACAGGAAAATTACATCTCTAAAGCGGAAGAACTTTTCTTCTGTTACTGAGGATTGAACCGAGGGCTTCACACGCACTGTGCCAGTTCTCTGCCACTGAACTACATCCCCAACCCTACTCCACTAAGAGAAAGGATTTTATAGTTAAAATGATTTTCCTGTGTCTTGGGTGCAGTGACCTAGCGTAGGGGAAATACAAGGTGACAGTCCGTTTGAAATGTAAAACCTACCCATTTGAAAAATACTTTGGCACATATATGTTGAAAATATATAAAATGTTATAATATTTTTTACTATAAAGTTTACTAAAAGCATGATATCTAACAGTTTTCTTTGGGAACACTGTCTAGAGAAGAAAAGTTAATTTGGGACTGGATTTTGAAACAGAAGTGGCATAGGAAGGACAGAGGTGGTGCGTACAGGGCTGTGCATTCCTTTCCAGTAGGGTTAACAGACTGAGGATGTGCATTGCTGTGTTTCTAGCTCCTGAAGCTGGACAGACTGCAGGACAATTCCAGACACGGACAGCAGAGGGCGTGGGTGTCTGGCCACAGTGGCAGGGGCAGCAGCCTCATCATCGGTCGAGCTCTAGTGAACATGTTCAGCAGCCATCAGCACAACAGCCTAGCCAGCCCGAGGTCTTCCAGGTGAGCGGGTACAGACTTCAGAAAATAGAAACTAGGAGAGTGAGTGGATCAGAGGAGAGACAGAGAAGGAAGCCCACCTGGATTAAGGTGTTTTTTTGTTTGGTGGTATATGCGAGAAGGCAGCAGGGATATGTGGGGATAAAGGTCAGTAATTTATTAAAAAGTGAATTTAGTATGAAGCCCACCCTTTAACCAGACTAGACAAAGGTAGTGATGTAATATAAAGTGGAAAGATGCCAAAGAAAGTTACATTAGTTCATTCACGGAGATCCATATACTTAGTTCATAGTAGCTCTGGGTTTAAAATAGGCAGGACAATTTTTTAAAAATCTATGAAGCCAGGACCTGTAAGTCTAGGACTCTGGGAGGCTGAGGCAGGAGGATTGCAAGTTTGAACTGAGCCTGGGCAAGTCAGCAAGACCCCATCTCAAAATAAAAAAGGGTTAGGCGTGTAGCTTAGTGTGAAGGCCTTGGGTTCAGTCCCCAGTATCTCTCCCAAAACGTATATGAACTAGAACATGCTGGTAGTTATAAAGGCCTATTTATATAAGTCCTAAGGGGATCGCAGGAGTGAATGGAGTAATCTTAGACAAAGGAAGAGAGAGTGTAAACCATAGATTAAAGGAAGGGAAAACAGATTTTGGTGGGGAAAAAATACGATGCTGCACTTCTTAGGTAACTATGACAGGTTATATGAAATACGGCAAATAGACTTTTCTCCCTTTGAAAATACCAAGTAGTGGGAAGGGGGAAAAGGTAGCTCTAGGAACTGTAGAAGGAAGACAGAGAAGGAACTAGGAAGAGGCTGTGATCTGAGGAGTCAGAGTTGCTAGAATGAGGAAGGCTGAGAGAGCTCAGCACAGCAGGGACGCATTGGCATTAGGAATGGTGGTGTGGGGATGCTGGGAGAGAACTTGTTAAATGTGAAGATGTGCGACTCAAACATAATGTTTTTCTCTCACCAGGAGATGCTGTCCATGCTGGGAGACCAGAGCAACAGCTACAACAATGAAGAATTTCCTGATCTAACTATGTTTCCCTCCTTTTCAGAATAGAACTATCGGGGTGAGGATAAAGGGTGGGGGAGAAAAATTGTTTGTGTTTTAAAAGCAAATCTTTTGTAAACAGAATAAAAGTTCCTCTCCCTTCCCTTCCCTCACCCCTCACATGTACCCCTTTCCCTGCTGGACCTCCCTTGCTCCCACCCTTGCCTCTCTGAGGTAACATTTGTAGACAAAATGAAATGATGAATCCCCAAGGCTTTAGGACTCTTTGCACACAGGGCCTAGGTGAGGTACAACGCCTCTTCTTACGTCTCCTGACCAGAAGTTGCACAGTGATGATTTGTGCTAGGGTGAAGGGACAGGTTAGAGGAACCTACACCCACTATTTGCCTTGGAGACCTTAGCCTATTTTAGACAAGATTGGGCATATTCAGGGTGGTATGGTCGTAGACCCATGGCCTTTTTTAGAAAGAAATTCTGAATTCTGAGGAGAATGAGAAATATCCTCACAGGTGAGAACCATGAAACATGGTGTTATGGGGCTTTAGAAAGCGAGCATATGTTCTTTCTGTTACCTGTGAGCAGTTCCTCTGGAAAGAAACGTGAGAGTGAGTTTGTGTGTGTGTGTGTGTGTATTTCTGTGTTTCTTTATCCCTACTAGGGAGTTATGCAAAATATGTCCCAGATTTTATCTTTGTCTTTCTGTGTGCTCTTCAAAGAGTTCTAAGGAGTTACATCTTCCAGGTATTTTCCACTTAGTATTGCAGCCAAAGAGTATTTAAGTACATATCTTTGCTGCACTTATATCTATGCCCAGCCAATGTGCAACTGTAGGCAAAGTCTTGCTGATAATGCTTGGTTTCTTACCAAACACATTCAGTGATAAAGCTGGATCAGTCCCCCTTTTGGTGCTCACACCTTGCTTAGAAAGATCAGCAAGCATTACTGAAATAGGCTGGCAAGATAAACACTTTAGTAACCCTAAACTTGTCCATAAGAATAATGCTGCATTTTTCTGTCAGAATCACACATGCTGTGTGCTGTATAGAGGTTATTTCTGCATGGAAACTCAACTTCTTGGAGTAGCAATCCCAGTGAAAGTCCTCACTGTTGGAGTGTAAAGCGAATACCAAGCCTCTTGCAATGTAGCCTCTTTCATCCCACCCTTAAAAATCTCTCATCTAGATTCCGGACTCTCCTGGATCTGTAGGTCTTTTATCTTTGCTCCCCATCCAATCTTGAGGTTGGATTTTGCTTTAGAGCACAAGTATAATAATTGTCTGTGTAATGGGACCTGGACTCCCATCCCAACAGGGTCACTTGGTAATTATAGCCATATAAATGTGGATACAGGTTACTATACTCACTCTACCTTCCTCAGGTAAGTCATGTATACCAGCCTTTTTTTTTTTAAACTGGCTCCAGTCAGCATGTAAGTGCAAGACTGAGTTAATTGGAAGATGCTGAGTGTATTTATAGGAGGTTGAGGAGCATGGATGGCCGTGGAGAGGCAGAGGGAATGTCACTTACTGGTCGCTTCCTTTTGTCTCCAGTCTGGTGCCAGGTAGTGGAGTGGAAAGGAGACAATTTATTTTTTTATTCTATGTGCACACATACAGTATACGTATATATTTATATCACAGTTAATGAAACCAAAAAGTTGAGTTTCCAATGGAATCCTTGTTTTTTAATATTGTTTTTAAATGTGATCAAGACTATAATATTGTACAGTTATTATAGGGTTTGGGGGAGGGGTCGGGAGGGAGAAGATACTCTGGGGGTTTTGTTTCTGCCTTTCCTTCAGGGTTTTATTTTTGATTTTTTTTTTTTTTGTTGTTGGCCATTTCTGTATTGCTGGGATCTGTGCTAATACAGTGGCAAAAATAATGACATGTAGCAAAGATTTTAAAGCAAAATGTTTTTTTCCTTTTGTAAAAGTTCTTGTGTTGTGTGATCTCGATTGCGACTTCATTATTCCATTTCAGCTCATAAACAGACATTACAATTGAAGGAATCTGATTGAGCGCCAAATACACAAACATAGTGTGAGTCTTTCATTTCAGGAATCAGGAATCATAGGGCCTTGATCACTCAGCTCCCCTCCTCCTCACTTGCCCTCCTGACCCTGACACACGCTGAGTAAAATCAGCAAGGACTTTCTGACCACACTGTGTGGGGTTGGGGGTTGCCCAAGCCTTTCAGAGAGACAGAAGAGTTAGGATTTGAAATCACTAGGCGCATCTGGATTCCTCCTACCCTAGTATAGCTTCCTTTGGATTAGAAAGAATTAGGGATTGGGAATTTTTGCTGCTGTTTTGTTTTCTGCGACAGCCACGCTTTGTAGCCCAGGCTGGCCTCAAGGTGATCCTCCTGCCTCTGTTGGGATCACAGGCACATCCCACTCTGCCTGGCTCAGGATTGGGAAGTTTAACTCTTCAAGACTGCACCTGATTTCCCTCTACAATTACTGTATGTGGTTCTTAACAGTTTTTAAGGTCCAGAGGCGTAAGCCTGTGTCCTTGAGGGCTTCTTTTTGGAATCCAACGTGGAACTGAATTATCCTTTCAGTTCCAATGACTGTCCTTCCCCACATCTGTTTATGGAAGAAAATGAAGTTGGGTGGGGTGGCTGAGCTAAACTCTTATGATTTGTCACATGGGTAGAGTTTGGGGAAGCATTTGGAGAAGCTCATGTGACTGGCCTAGAACGGGGATTTTAATAACTGAGACATTAGTGCTCATCAGACATCCTGCCATCTGAGGGTGGTAGCAGTAGAGTCTTCATGTGAATCAGTCAGAGCATTGATTCAGGCACTGTCCTAAACCAGGAACACTGTTTTTGGCTGCTTTTAGAGCCAGTTTCATCTGGACTTTCTCAGCAGATCCTTTTTTTACAAAATCACATTAGGCTAGGAAGGCTGTTCCCCAGCCTAAAAGCAGTGGCAACTTCAGGCCACTTCATAAAATACAATTTTGGAGCCTGTGTCTTCTCTCATGTTACTTACTTCTAGTTTTTTGTATTTATTCTGTTATTCCAGAGGTGTGGGTCAGACACAAATTTGAAAACTAAGGTTTAAGTGGTAGGTGGGTCATTACAAGAAAAAGGAAAAGATGCAGTCTATTGTAATAAAGGATTTAAAAGAGGAAGATGAGGAAGACCAAGGCTGTGTCCTTCATTTCCCCATTAAAGGAGAAAGTACACCCTAACCTGAGTAATGTGTATTGTCTTTTGTCTGCCTCCAGAGACAGTCATGTGAAACTAAATACCCAGCAACTCTTCTTCCCGGCACACAACACTGCACAGACAGAAACACTGCAAATATGCTGCCTCCTTCCACCCTAACCCCCCTTCTCAACATTTCTATCCCCGCCTCCCTGTCTTACCCAAATTTTCCAGCCAACTGCTGTGGCTGACTTCCGCAATCCTGATGGAATAAATCTAGCACCCCTGGTCTTCCGCCCACATTAGCCACACTTTGTGCCGGAAAGGAGCCCAGACGCGATTCCCAACTTCAGGTAACATTTTCGATTTCCTAGATCTTTTAGCTTCTCATTTTCTATTTAAGAGCGTCAGCGATGTAGTGAGTTGCGGGTCAAAGTAAACTATAGGCTCTGTGGATAAAAACAGATGCCCTTCTTAGTTCTTTTCCTGGCCAAATAAAATCTACTTGGAAATCTTCAGGATTCCTCGTATGGCTGTATGTACTGTACGCATACATGCTTGTTAGTAGAAACAAAGGGATAGAGCATCCTTTACTCATCCTGCAAAAGCAGCCACTCTCGTATTCTGCTTGGGCTGTAAGAGTTAACTGGCTACTGAGGAGGAGCCATAGGAATTTTGCCAGTAGGTGGTAGCTTGGTATTTCTGCTCTAAAACATCTCCAGTTCTTAACACTCCAGCTATTAAATATCCTCTTGGACATTTTGCCAGTTTGCAAAGATTACATAAAAGACTATAAATTTTGTGCTGTGTATGTCATATGACTGGCTGGAGACTGCAGGTTGTTGTTAAACTGAAGGACTTGCAGATAAGCCAGTGCAGGAAATGAGTGATGCTTTGCTTTGAAAAAGCTGTGAATTTAATCATTATAGAACACCGTCTTTCCATCCTACATTTTTCTAATCTTGGTTCTGAGGAATTTGCTGTATGGAGGCAGCCACAGATATTTATTGTTGGAAAAAGAAAAGAAACCTCCACAGCATCTGGTTAAGATTAGTCCAGTTTCCTGCCTAAGGGGAAAGAGAGGAAGAAATGTATGAAGAGAGGGAGGAGACTGTAAATGTCTAGTTAAATAAGGAAATACTGTCAACTTTTCCCTTGTCCTCCTGGCAAGATCTGGAAAAGTGTCAGTTTAAGCAAGGAGGATAAGCTGGAAATCTGTGTGTCTCCTCCAACCCCATTCATGTCTTATCCTTACTTTGTGCAGCTACAGCTGTGGTGAGAACACTGAAAGAAGGTTCAAGCCCATGCCAGGTGTCTGGTCTCAGCTCCATTTTGTGTGTGTGTGTGTGTGTGTATGCGTGTGTATGCTTTGGTGTCTGGTCTCAGCTCCATTAATTGTGTGTGTGTGTGTACATGCTTTGGATTTCCCTGTATCAGACTTCTTGGAATTGGATAAGCCCATATCATGCAAACCCACCCTCTTCCTATGAAGATTTTTTTATGATTGTTTTATCATGAAAATCATCCTCAATTCTTTGTCTACTTTTCTCAGAGAGCCAAGTTTTCCTCTGTCTCAGGGTTCAGAGGAAGGGCTTTTTATCTCTCCAGTCATGAGTCCCCAAACATTTTTCCCTGTGAATGCAGTTTTCTCCTAAGAGGGACTGTACTTCTGTTAGCATGTGAAAGGAATCTGTGACTTCTCAAAGTTAAGAGCAATCTATTAGAATATGGCTCCAACTATTTCTTCATCCTAAGCCAGGCTATGAGTCCCCCGGCAAATGGAAGAGTCTTCCCTAATTATTCCCTTCCCCAGGATGTGGGGGCTCAAGGTTCTGCTGCTACCGGTGGTGAGCTTTGCTCTGTACCCTGAGGAGATGCTGGATACTCAGTGGGAGCTATGGAAGAAGACATATGGGAAGCAGTATAACAGCAAGGTGCCCGGGAACTTGGGAGGGGAGCATGGTGGGAGAGCTGGGGTCTGAGATCTCCTTTCTCAGCTTCTGCAGTCCTCAATCCAAATACAGTACTTTATTCCAACAAAGCAAACCATCCCGTTCCCTAACTTCATTTGTCTACCTCGGCTCATCATAAAGATCTATCCATATTTTGCTGTGTAATAGTCTTGACCAGGGGTCTAACTCAGTGATTCAGCCCTTGCATAGTATGTACAAGGACCTGGGTTCAGTGCATCACCAACACACACACACACACATAATAATACTCTGAAATTTCTCTTGGAAAGAGCTTTTCAGTTTAATGCTATTAATCTATGAGCAGTTTTCTATTGATCTCTTCAGAGCTTTGCATTGTATTATTTGTATTTGTTTACATATTTTTTATGTACTCAATCCATGCATGGTTCCTTAACTAGACTACACATTTTACAATTTCAAGTTGCATGTTTTCTCCACAGTACTCACTATGTAACTTTGCACACAGTCTGTGCAAGTACTGACAATCCTCTATTTAGGTGGATGAAATCTCTCGGCGTTTAATTTGGGAAAAGAACCTGAAGTATATTTCCATCCATAACCTTGAGGCCTCTCTCGGTGTCCATACATATGAACTGAGCATGAACCACTTGGGAGACATGGTGAGTTGAGCCTGAGCTCCTGGCCCATCCACCGTGTTTGCTTTAATTTCTTGCTAATGCCTGGTCTCTCTTCTTTGTCTCAGACCAGTGAAGAAGTAGTTCAGAAGATGACTGGGCTCAAAGTACCTCCCTCTCATTCCCACAGTAATGACACCCTCTACATCCCAGACTGGGAAGGCAGGGCTCCTGATTCTGTTGACTACCGAAAGAAGGGCTATGTTACTCCTGTCAAAAACCAGGTACTGTTGTATGTGTGTGCATAGGTAACCTGGCATAACCTGTTTCTTTTTCTAGTGTTTTGGTTATGAAGTAGGAGGGTACTGGGAAAAAGGGAGATAGGTTTGTCTTCTCATTTTAAGAGAATATAGCCCATTCGGATACTGCACTCATTATCTATTTTGTACGTTGAAGTGTACATTTGGTACATTTTTGTACCTTTGTGTCTGAGTTTTATTACAACTAGTGTTACAATAAGTGCTTGTGTATTTTTGTGTGTGTGAACTGTAGAAATACTTAGCAAAATAAAATTGGAATTGTTTGGTCATAGTTTCCGAAGTTTTTACAATCCTACATTCTTACCAACATGAGGTGGCCAGTTTTCCTATAACATTTTTTTTTAAGTGTTTTGAGACAGGGTCTCACTGTGTAGTTCAAGCTGGCCTTAAACTCACTCTGTAGCTCAGGCTGGCCTTAAACTCACAGTGGTCTTCCTGCCTCAGCCTCCCAGGTGCTGGGATTACAGGCATGTGTTCCCATAATCTTAACACAGGTTTTAATCAGTAAAATGAATGATTGAGCTGGGTGTGAGGGTGCGTGCTGGTAATCCCAGCTGCTTGGAAGGCTGAAGCAGGAGGATCCAAAGTTTGAGACTAGCCTAGGCAATTAAGAGACCCTGTCTCAAAATGAGCAATTAAAAAAGTGTGTGTGGTAGGGTGAGGATCCCGCTCAGCAGTAGAGTACCCTGGGGCTCAATCCCCAGTACCACCAAAAAAAAAAAAAAAAAAAAAAAAGAATAGTTACCATTCATTTAACAAATACTATTTATTTCTCTCCTAGAACCTATCAGGTACTACAGAGCTAGGCAATAGAAATTCAAGATGGCTAATACATAACCTGCATCCTCAAGAAATCTATCTTAAAGGATAGTTTAAGAAAAAAAGAATTATACTGTGCAGAATAAACATAAATTCTAATTTTTTTAATCCTCATGATAGTATCATTAAGTACACTATTCACATTTTACATAATTAGAGATAAGAAAACTGAGGCACAGAGTGCTGTAGTAACTCACTAAGGTGATGCACGGCTAGTGGGTACCAAGTCTGCTAGAACAGATGAACAAACCACCACCAAAACCTGGCCTCTGCTTTCTTGAGGGAACCACAGTTATCAACAGCAGGGGAATCAGGCAGTGACTATTAAGTGAAGGAGAGTAAGAAGGCAGCACTTGCAATGGGTGTATGAAGTCGGTACGGAACGTCGTCAGGTGGGTGGAGGGGAGCTACAGATGGGAAGCACAGGGCTGATCTTGTCTCTGTATGCCTCTCAGGGTCAGTGTGGTTCCTGTTGGGCTTTCAGCTCTGTGGGTGCCCTGGAGGGCCAACTCAAGAAGAAAACGGGCAAACTCTTAAATTTGAGTCCCCAGAACCTGGTGGATTGTGTATCTGAGAACAACGGCTGTGGAGGAGGCTACATGACCAACGCTTTCCAGTACGTGCAGGAGAACCGGGGCATTGACTCTGAAGATGCCTACCCGTATGTGGGCCAGGTGAGGCTGGGCCACGCAGCTCCACGGCTCCATGGTGGCTGCTCCTTCCCCAGCGTGATAGTGCTTTCTGGGAACAGTTCCAGAAGTTTTGTTTTCTGTTATCCTGTTCAGCTTCTTAATGGGATAATTTCTCACAGAAGGACAAAAAGATTTCCACAGTCTTGGGAGAGCTTTGGGAGCTTAAGCTGCTACAGCTTCTAGCTCTTTGGTGTGGGTATGAGACAGGATAGGTTATCCCGTAACCTCTGTGCAGGTCTCAAGAACCCTCTGCTAAATCCCCTGTGCCTACAACCCACAAAACTAACTTGCTATTTTCATAAATCAGTTTCTTTCTTTCTTTCTTTCTTTCTTTCTTTCTTTCTTTCTTTCTTTCTTTCTTTCTTTCTTTCTTTCTT